TCCAGACAGCACAGCTTTTGCTGTAATCAATCAATTCCCTGAACCCCAAGTTCAGGTAGTTTTAGAATTTTATACCCAGCATGTAAGGGGAAGGGCTCAGAAGTTCACAGTCTGCAGAAGTTCACATAAAGGCAGCTTTTTTTTTTCCCACTGTTTTGGGCAAGTTAACTCTTCAAGGACAACACCTGAGAAGAGGAGAGCTTCTTCTCCCCTTTCTTTCCTCCCCCTGCCAGCTGTTACCATGGAGCCCAGTTGGTAACTTCTCTTATATTAAAAACGTAGATATCACTGTGAAGCCCAGTTTAAGGCCAGAGGCCTTGTTTGCACATTTCTACAAACTACTATACTGGATATATTTGTGAAAAACTAGTAAGGGGGTGTCCAGCACCTGGAGTGCTGGTATCTTCCTGGCCAGTGGCCAAGTAAAACAGGGCAGCACGAAAAGAGGAAGTTTATCTACATTGAACTCTTTGGTAGAGACTCTTTTGCTGACAGTCCTAAAAATCAGCCATGGTGAAGATTTCTGGAGACTTTTCTGTGGAAAATGGGGTGCCACTACAGTTTATTAATTATGTCTCAGTAAACATGTAAGTTAACAGAAATGTTACACAATACCGTCACACCATCTGGATTTAGACCAAGCCCTGGAACCTAGAAGGAGAAGTGAAAACCCAAGACAAAAATGGATGGAACCCAGAGGTAGGTTGTACATCATAAGTATCGACCTGTGGGAGACCAACCTTACACGTGACTGAGTCACACTCCCCAGCTAGGTGCTGAGTTGCTCAGTCCCAGAAATGTGGCAGCGCTTTCCCCACCCTTCTTGGGTTCAAGGGTCGGTGTCTCTCGCATGGGTGTGTCTTGCTACAGCCCCATGGGTGAAGCTACGCTCACCTGTTCCTTTGTAATATAACCCTTGCCCTGTTTAGGATAGAATCTCCATGGAAGTGCCTTGTGTGTGTCTCCTTCTCTTACTGTGCCCTTGGGTGTGGCCTATCCAGGTGTCAGTCAACCTGCTGACAGTGGACATCATGAAGGTAGATTTAGCCCCCTGAAACCTGACCCCTTGCCTCATTTGAATAGATTCTCCTCAATAAATGCGGTCAGCAAGTGCTCTCGCTCTCTCTTTCTGAGGACCCTTAAGGTCAGAGGAGCCATCACAGCGACCCCAAAGAAAAAGGTATTTGTATCTCTTGTGTGGTTATTTCACGCAGCCCAATTAGCCCAATTTAACCGGAATGACCCCTGAGCCTTTTAGTCTCAAGAACAGAAACCCAGCACTGACCTATTTACCGAGGAAATATAATGTATATCCTGAGTTGCCTGCTTCTGAGTGGATCAACACCCATCTCTAGCCCCTCCTCCTTCACACTCTTCCCAGAAAAAGAGCCCTACCTACCACCCCTGTGTGCATCCATGCACCCAAGGGTGCATCAATGACCCAGCTATTTTACTCTGCCCAGCCCAGTCTGCAGCAATTCAGCAATAAGAGAACAAAAACCACGCCCTGCAGCAGCGGGCTTACTTTGCCCGCTCAGCTTCTTCTCGGTCCACGACCAAGAAGAACCTAGGTGCCAGACTACAAAGGGTGTGGAAAGAGGACGGTGCTGGGTTGTTGGGGCTAGAGGCCAAGGGGAACAGTTGAACAGATAGGGACACGCAAAGGAAGGGGGCGGCGCAGGACAGCGTACTCAGGGTGGATACGCCCTAAGAGCTGAGCCAGTCACCAAGCAGGTGGTGTGGTGCAACAACTGCAATAGCGAAAAACATTGCCCTCCCCCACTTTCTATCTACTTTTATTGTTTCTCAATTGACCAATGGAAACACAGGCCAGGATGGCTCGTCATCAACCTCTGGGCAAAAAGAGCTGGTTCAGATTAGAGAACGGGACTTTCCCTGCACTTAGTTTCCTTTTTCTCAAAAGGCCAGTGCTTTCCGAGAAAAGGCAAGGGAGGGATTAGTACCTCCTGCTCCTCTCCCCCGCGTGATTACATCAGTAACTTCCACACTCTGTAGACAAGTGATTCTCAAAGGGGGCAATACGTATGGGGCATTTTGGAAATTAATAGAGCAATATTTGGTTGTTCCAATTATGAGGAGTATTTAGGGGCTGAGGGCCAGAAGTTCCAGCCTACTTTGTGTGTGCACAAGCACGTCCACACACACGCGCAAAATATATTAAAAATCTGTTTATAATCTGGGCTCAAAATCACATGTAAAAATGTGTCTTATTTTTTATTTCTTGAACATACACTGACCATCTACTACTGGAGTTTTTCAGGAATGTAACTACCAGGCAACTCAAAGATGTTGTTTGAGGGAATTTTACCTAAAAATTCTCACCATTTCAGAGAATTATGCCAGAACCACCAATACTATATCTGAATCTGAACAACTGATGGGACTTTGACATATTGAAGAAAAGAAGTAGTTTCAAGGTCTCTCAAACCTTCTCCATTCCCTTCTGTTGATCTTTCTTTCAACAGAAGGGGTTTTCCTGAAGTTCTCCTGTTCTCCAGAAAGGAGCACAATTGTCTTCAATCTTCTTACTGAAACTTTACTAATTAAGGAAGATTAAACTCATTTCACAGATGAAAAGATTAAAAATGAAACACCATACTAGAGCCCCAAGAATTTTGTCCTAGGCCTGGTCTTTTGTTCATCTCACCTTGAAATCATTTACTATTCTAAATCACTTTGTAAGTGTCTTGCTATTTCCCTATTTCCCTCTCCCCTATGAAGAAGGCAATTAAGCCGCAGCCATCTGACTTTTCTTTGTTTTCATATTTTGTATAGCTCCATGTACATTTGCATTGTTAATAAATTTGTTAGGCTTTGCTCTTATTAACCTTTCTTTCGTTGTAAAGGTGTCAGCCATGAATCTTTGTGATGTGCAGCAAAGGGATCACTCACTTTTCTGCTCTTACACCACCAATGCAGTCTATCTTTCAGTCTTAAATGCCACCATTCACAGAGATCTTGGGCCAGTTAAAAATAAGTGTTTTAAAAGGGGGAGGGGAGGAAGCTGGGTGAGGGGTGCATGCCTATAATCCCAGCAGTATGACAGGCAAGAGGATCTAAAATTTGTAGTCCACTTGGGGAACATAGCAAGAAGATGTCTCAAAGTTAATTAACTAATTGAAACTTGAAAGAGGGGAGTGTTGGGCTGGGGATGTGGCTCAAGTGGTAGCACGCTTGCCTGGCATGCATGCGGCCCGGGTTCGATCCTCAGCACCACATACAAACGAAGATGTTGTGTCTGCCGAAAACTAAAAAATAAATATTAAAAATTCTCTCTCTCTCTCTTTTAAAAAAAAAAAAAAAGGGGAGTGTTGAGTCTGATTGAGTTGAAAACTCTAGTGTACACTGGCGTCCTGGACACTTTACCTACCTCGTTCTGCCAAACTTGAGTTGGTACTGAGTTTCTATCCTATAAATCTAACAGATAAAACTGATACACAAGTGGTTGTGGCACCATCACCAGTAAGAATCCTTTATTTTTATTTACAGGTAAGAAAACTGAGGAGTTAACAGAGATAAAAGGTGATTTTTTTGGGGGGGGGGGCGGTACTGGGGATTGAACTCAGGGGCACTTGACCACTGAGCCACATCCCCAACCCTATTTTGTATTTTATTTAGAGACAGGGTCTCACTGAGTTGCTTAGTACCTCACTAAGTTGTGAGGCTGACTTTGAACTGGTGATCCTCCTGCCCCAGCCTCCCGAGCCACTGAGATTATAGGCATGCGCCACGACACCCAGCAAGAGGATGAACTTTGACAGGCAGAACTAGAATCTCCTGAAAATGCGATTAGACTTCATGAATTCCCTATGTAAAAAGGTTATTCTCAAAATTCCTGATGCTGACAAAAGGAAGTTTTGCCTGCAGGTCCATCCTTGGAGGAACTGTTAAGAGTAAGGGGTGGGGTTATAGCTCAGTGGTAGAGCACTTGCCTAACTATACCAGTGAGGCCCTGATTTGATCCTCAGCATTACATAAAAATAAAATGATTAAAAGTGTTGTGTCCATGTACAACTAAAAAATATTTTTAAAAAAATAAAGAGGGGCTTGGGTTGTGGCTCAGCGGTAGAGTGCTCGCCTAGCACATGCAAGGCCCTAGGTTCGATCCTCAGCACCACATAAAAGTAAATAAATAAAGCAAAGGTATTGTGACCGTGTACAACTAAAAAACTTTTAAAATAAATAAATAAATAAATAAAGAGTTAGTGAGGACCATCTTGTTGCCTAAAGCCTATTAGGAAAAATGATTCAGCAGTTCAGTGCTAAGAAATTTTCCTATATTTCCCTGCTGTAGTTTTAGATAATTTGTTCTAATTAGCTGTGCAAATAAAGAACCACTGAAAGTAAATGGCATCGCCTAGAGCTTTACATCTTACAGAGACATTCTCGTTATTATCACCTTCTCAGAACAACCTTGGGAACGCTGCCAGGTGAGTAGATACTCCATATTTATTGAACAAAAAAATTGAATGAATAAATGAATTGTGACATAGGAATAATTGTCCCATTTTGTGGATATGATGACTCTATTAGTCAGCTTTGTATCATAACAAAACACCTGACACAGTCTACTTAATAAAAAGATTTATTTAGTTTATTGTTTTTCTAAAAAGCATAGCCCAGGCTCTGTGATGAAGGCTGACTCTTTGTCTGCATCACCACATGGTGAATTTGAATACAGTAATTCTCGTGGTGCCTATAGCAATGAAAGGAGTGCATGCAGGAGAAAACAAGTGATTGATCTCAAGCCAGAAGCAGATAGCATAGGAGGGGCTAGGCATCCTCTTTTCGTAGTAAACCGCTCAGAAGAACCCAAGAGGTCTCATGGGAACTACCTTCTGAGAGCATACACCCATCGACCTAAAGACATTGCTCTAGGCCCCACTGTCGGAGACCAGCTCCAACAGGGGGTCTCAGGAGACAAACGGATGGTGAGGAGTCGGTGAAAGGGGGGTGGAGAAACAACACAGACACCAAAGTGAAGGTGTTGATCCCAATCTTTACTTGTGAAGTTGATCATATATACTTTTCATTTTGGCAGGCTCACAGTACTTTGTAGGTTACAAAACAGGAATCATTATTCAAAGAAACAAAATATTAAGTAGCTACAATTAGAATAGAAGAACGTATCTTGGCTTATGCAAAAGCAAGCATTTGTACTTTCAGTTCGAGTTTTGCTTTGAGCTGTTTCTGCTTAGTTAACTTTTAATAATAGTTACAAATGTCCCAAAATATTGGCCTATACCTTGACTATTCTTTCTTGACTTACTGACTGGAAACGGTGCCATGGTTATGGCAAGTGGTTGACTTGTTATTAATTTTAATCAAACAAGAGTAAGAGCACAAACCATTGTGCACAGGAACAAGAACAAGTTGCCCAGTACTAAGCACTAATCTGTCTTCTTAACATTAATTTTTCTTCTCTAGATTTTAATTTAATTTCTCAAAAACTTCCTTGGCAGGATACAGGGAGTTTTTCATTAGACATTAACAATTTACGCTCCACAGCTGAATCATTGCATTTAGAGCAAACAGATCTATTCTTTAGAAGTAGTTGCATTAATTGGGAAAGTCATGTTTTTTCCTTCATACTTAATTTTCATATGAGAAGTCGCAACTATACTTATTAAAGGAATACAAAAACAAATCAGCCCATTCCCAGAAACATACTGCGCTCCTCCAGAGGATGGACGCCTTGCGCCATCCTCCTCAGTAGGGCCTTGCCATTGCCTGAGTCAGGGGAGGGGCGCAGCACCCCACCTCTCAAAGGTTCCACCACCTCCCCAAACTGCCACCCTGGAAATCAAGACTCTAACCACAATGGACTTTTGAGGACACAATTAAGCCATATCCAACCTAAGATTGGGTCAGGAATTTTCCAGTTCCCTTTGTGAAATTAGGATTCAAACTTAGTTCTGAGCCTACTGGTATTCAAATTCTAATGCTAACCCCTTAGAAACTTTGAAGTTGTAATGGGAGTTTGGGATTACATGTGTTAGGGGCCCACCAGAGGAATTTAATAGGAAACTCACAGTAGCAACTGATGCCCCATTCAGATCTGCCCCAGTGAGCCAGTTCCCAGCTTTTGCCTATTGTGCCAACAATTAGCACCTGTACATTGCTTGAGGATACTGGAGAGAACTGGAAATTTTAAGTTTCATGCCATCCCATAGCCTGATATAGCCAAAGACAGGCTGTTGTGGATTACCAAAAGCCAGATCCTTTGCTTTGAGGCAGGACAAATTCTAAGGTGTGTTCTTTGTTATATAGAGGTCCCTGTGGGAAAAGGCTATGTGGAAACTTCTAATATCACACCCTCACTTGGCTTCTGTCCTTCGTCATCCACTGCTTTACTGCTTTTCTTCCCCCATAAAAGCCCTTTCTTAATGCACCACAGTGATGTGCAGGCTTCATTTGTGCCCTTGTGCTTCACCAACAAGATATAAATATATCTTCAGTTATATTTTTTAATCATCTATATTGTGGAGAACTAAAGGTGAATAACTACATCCAGTTAATGAGAGATATATGGAGTTTCCTACAGGATTAAGGCTTGATATATGATCAACTCTTACTTTCAATTATATTTACTAGTTCGTTTGTTTTTTCTATCAGCCCTTCTTGTGGAACTCCAAAATGTAAAAATGGCTTTTATGCATAAGGTTTCCAATCAAAGTAGTCATAGATAGTTTATTATTTCTTATAAGACACCTACTACCCAAATGTTAGTCTATAATTTCTGAATTTTTTTCTGGACACCAGGGAGAGACAAACACAAGGATAGTTCCTAAAGTAGAATTATTAAGAAGACTACTGTTACATCATTGCAACTTCCTACGTGCATAAAGTGTATTTGCATATCAACTTGAGAAAGAAAGAAAATAATTCGAAATTAGTCCAGTCCAAATAAAGCATCTTCAGTCCTGAAAGAAAGAAAAAAGAAAAGGAAAAAAATTTGTGAATGCATTTACTTTATTTGGATTACAGATCCCACCATCAATTTGTCTAACTTCTTCAATGTAGGTCACCTTTTTAGAAGTGGCTACAGAAAATTTTCAAAACCCATTACAAAGAACATATCCCAGTAATTTATTCTATCGGTGCTCCCAAAATCTTAGAGGAAAGAATTCTAATATTAGAGTTTATGTCCTGGCTTTGCCATTTAATAACTGTATGACTGTGCAGATAACCCAACTTCTCTTAAATAAATTTTTCTGTCCTAAAGATAATAGATTTGAATGGGTTTTCAGCATCAAGATATCCTGGGCAGTAAAATTTCATTGAAAAGCTGAATTTTCTACCACTACTGGAATGCAGCTGAAGATATCAAGAAGTCAAAGTTTCTCCTTCTTTCATGCTTCTAGAGCTCCTTGTAATTACATCTATTATAGATTTTTACAGGGAATATAAACCAGTCTGTTTCCATTTCTTTCCTCAAGTGGCTAGGAGCTTCTTCAAGGCAAACAGAGTACCCACACACTGAGACTGAACAAGAAACTGAAAGAATAGGACATCTGCAGAACTGTGTCACCCCTCTCTTCTGGATGAAGAACAAAACAACTGCTATGTGTTTTTTGTTTTTCTTTTGAGATGAGGTCTCTCACTAAATTGCTGAGGCCAGTTTCAAACGTGCAATCTTCTTGCCTTAGCCTCCTGAGTAGCTGGAGATTACAGGCATTCACCACCATGTCCAGTGTGAGAATAATTCATTTTTGAGGTCTTTTTCTATGCAGAAATGCCTGATATGAAAATGACAGAAGAAAGATCAAACCCTTGCAGGTGGTGTGGGTAATCAGCTGCCTCTATCCAGCCACATCTCACTGGCAGCTCCTCTGTCTTCCTGTTACAGGGTCAGTGATGCTGACAGAGTCACACCTGGGACCACAGGCCTTCCTCATGCCATTCCACAGGAGAAAGGAATATGACCCAGGAATGTGACTCAAAGAATTCTTTACCTGCTAACATGCTACCTTAGTTAATGTCCTCCATACAGTGAAGATTATCATGTTAGAGTTGTCTCTAAATAGTCCCTAGGATAATAAACAAAAACATTTCTTAAAGTCAAAAACCCACCTCTGTGTTGTTGGTTAGTCCCAGGATGCTGGTTAGTTGTCTCGGTCTATGAAAAAGAAAATGGGAAACATTAAGCTTTACTTTTTAAGATACTATGTACTAACAAATGTCCCAAACTGTGTAGCTTTGAACACTTGTAGACCCAATCCTGCCTACTGGCCTCAGAGCCAAACCCAGCCAGTATTAAAGGAGTCCAGGTTTCTAGGTGTCAGGACAGTGGGATTTATAGGCGAAGACCTGTGCCTCCCTGTGATGCTTCTTGGTGCCAAGTGTCCATAAGGCTGCCAGAAAAGCTAGAGGAAGCCAACAGTGGTAAGAAGCACTGGGAGTGCTGCTGCTACTCCCTGCTTTCACTACGAGGACCCCACTGGCTCAGGGAATATGCCATGCAGAAGTCTCTCAGAAGGTGCCACTCATCAGTGCTTTAGAAACACTCCCTGACAATCCCAGTATACAATTTTTTTTTTTAAATACAGAAAAAGCTTTAAGCTGTGACTCTACTTAGGAATAACTTTCAACAGCTAAGGAAAAAACCTGAAAACTTACCCCACTTCACTATCTTGGGCTCCTTCAGAGTTTCATGTGTAACTCTGCATGCGTATTCATCTTTATCATTGGGGGTGAATTCAGTGTGCACCAGAAGATAGAAGGACCAGTCCTTGCTGAAAGAGAGGTCCGACTGCTCGACTTTTTCTATCTTCTGTCCGTTTTTCAACAGATCTATTTGAATCTGGGGTGGATGAAACCCAGATACGTAGCAGTTGAGGAAGTTCGGTTTTCCATTCTCAGCTGGGTGCCGTGTATAAACTTGAATTTTCGGAGAACCTGAGAAACATCAGGGAAAGACAAAATAAATTTGTCAAGAGTATTTTACTTGGAGCTAACTCGGTCTCAAGTTAGGCACCAAAGGTTAAATTTGACCTATTTGTCCGGATGCCATTTCCACTCTGGCCAAATGAGTTTCTACTCTCCCAATAGGCTACTCTATTTCGTGAAACAGAGTAGAACTTACTATGTTTCCCACATAATTGTTCTCTATATGCTTTTTGAGTTTTGTTTGTTGGCTTGTTTGGTTTTGGTCTGGTTTTGTTTTCTAGCTGATTTCTACCAGTATCTTTGGTTACTGGAAATTATTATTATTTTTTTTTTTTAGAATTTTTTTTTTTAATATTTATTTTTCAATTCTCGGCGGACACAACATCTTTGTTGGTATGTGGCGCTGAGGATCGAACCCGGGCCGCACGCATGCCGGGCGAGCGCACTACCGCTTGAGCCACATCCCCAGCCCATACTGGAAATTATTTTAAAGAAACTTTCTGGGCAGCTCTCAAGAATATTTAATGTCCTCTCAGTACCCATTGAATTTCTTAATACATCACTCAAGGTCCCAACCTACTTTTCAAACTTCATTTCTCATTTAATATACCCTGCATAGAAGCTACATCAAATTATTCACGCTGTTGTACACTACTTCAACCCCTTACATTTTCTTTCCTATGTTTACCCACTTCCTTTTTGGTTCCTGCTTCTGCCTACATCTATGCCCATCTGACTTCCTAATGTATAATAAGTGTCTAGTACAGTGACTAGCACACAGCAATTGCTCTGTAAGTAGCAGAAGTTATTATTATTACCTCCTTGCTCAGCTTCCTATGCAAATCAAGCCAACATATGTTGAGACCAAACATAACCTGTTTATTCCTGCCCAGTGTTTATATGTCAAATCTCTGATTACATGAGCTAGAAAACAAAGAAACAAAAATGACTAAGTCCCTAAGCAAATTCGCGAGACCCTGTCTCAAAATTAAAAAAATATAAAGGACTGGTGATGTAGCTCAGTGGTAAAGCTCGCCTGGGTTCAATTCCCAGTTTAAAAAAAAAAAAATTAGCCGATGCAGTGGCGAGCCTGCCTATAATCCCAGCGGCTCGGGAGGCTGAGACAGGAGGATCTGAGTTCAAAGCCAGCCTCAGCAACTTAGCAAGGCACTTAGCAACTCAGAGAGACCCTGTCTCTAAATAAAATATATTTTTAAAAAAGTCTGGGGATGTGGCTCAGTAGTTAAGCATCCCTGGGTTCAATCCCTAGTATCAAAAACCAAAACAACAACAACAAAAAAAATTAAATGCCTACAAGAGTTGGTTTTATCCCCAATACCAACACCACAAAGAAATAGAAAAAAAGCAAAAAAGCATTTATTTTGTTCAGGGGTCAGAACACAACTTCATCCTGCCCAGAATTCTCTCTTTGAATGAAGCAGGCAGAATTTTGCAAGAATATCACTATAATGTCTTCTAGGATAAAGACAATATCGAGCTAGGTTTGAATTTGGCCAAGATCTGTGGGCTCAGTCACTTACTAGCCTTGTGACTTCGGGAGAATTACTTAAGTTTCCAAAGCTTAACAGAAAAATTAATCCATGCCTACAGTAAAACAAAAAAACTCACATACAAACATGGGGAAAATAGATCTTTAGAGGCAATCAACATTGAATATTTCTTGTGTATTTTCCAGAAATGAACTAGGTATCTTCTTTGGAATTTTTCAAAATGACTTTTTTACTGGTACTTTATAATTATACATAATAGTGAGATTCATTATGCTATATATTGGTACTAGCACATAATATAATTTGATCAATCCAGGGCAATCCCTATTGGGTCCTTTCAAACCCTATGTGAGCTGTCTCTTTTCTTCTCACTTGAAAAAAATCTTACTCTTTTATATTCACTCTTACTTGTCTTTGGATTTCATTCTTCAAAATCTTGAGACAAGAAGTTGAAGTCTCTGGCAGGGAGCTAGGATCAGCTGTAACATTACATACAGCAGCAGAGGCTGAAAATCTCATTTCATCTTTTGGGGGTTTGTCCAGGATTCTTGGAAGGCATGATCCCTGCCTAATGTATACCTGACCAATCACCCACCAACGGTCACCATGGATCCCTGATACACAAGATATCAAGCTACAAATGGCCGTACAGATGGAATCCAAGATGAACTCCCCATCTACCAGGGACCCTTAGATAGGCTCCCATAGGAAGTAACCAGAGTGGTCATCACCCCTATCCCTAATGGCAGTTAGGGGCTCTTCTTCAGAGGGAGGAAATGAATAAGATAGAATAGGATAGATAGGATGGATGGATAGATAGATAGATAGATAGATAGATAGATAGATAGATAGATAGAAAAACAGGCAGTTAAGAAAATGGGCCCCTGAAAAAGAGGTTTCTCTACATGAACAGGCTACTCCATGAAATATAGGAACATTCCAAACATTCCAGCCAACTCCTTTGTTCCAGAACAGTGGGAAAAATGAGATGGGCCAGATCTGAGTGAAGGTTACAGACTTAAGGGCTAACCAACAATAGCCTTAGCACTTTTCCTGATTAGCACAGAAATTGATCAATGCCCCTACCCCTTGACTAGTACACTTAAGTGGCAACCCCTATCGGGTCCCCTCTCGGCCTGTAGGAGCTATGTCTCTTTTCTTCTCACTTCAATAAATCCTACTCTTCAATACTCAAAAAAAAAATTTTTTTTGATCCATCTCATTCCCCAGTAACTTTTCTTTCCCTCCCTCTGAATATATGTATATCATATATATACGTGTGTGTATATGTGTATGTGTGGTATGTGTGTGTGTGTGTGTGTGTGTGTATATATATATATATATATATATATTTTAGAGACAGGTTCTCACTAAGTTGCTTAGGGCCTTGCTAAGTTACTGAAGTTGGCTTTGTACATTCAATCCTCTTGCCTCAGCTTCCCAAGGCACTGGGATTATAGGCATGTGCCACCCTGCCTGGCATTCTTCCTTCTATTTTCATGAGATTCCATATTCTTGCTCTGCATATGAGAGAAAAGATTTGAACCTTAATTTTCTGAGTCTAACTTATTTCAGTTAGCATGATGTTCTCCAAATTCCATCCATTTCCCCACAAATAACAATTTCACTTTTTTGTGTGTGTCTGAGTAAAACTCCATTGTGTATGTATGTAGGTATAGTGTACCAGAAAATGTGGGGTGTGTGTGTGTGTGTGTGTGTGTGTGTATCTCACTGAGTTGCTTAAGGCCTTGCTAAATTGCTGAGGCATCAACCACCTGCCCTGCACCATTCATAGTCCTTTTTTTTTTTTTTTAATTCCTGGTCTTTTAAGGAATCTCCATACTGCTTTCTAAAGTGGTTGTACTAATTTGCATTCCCATCAACAATGTATCAGTGTATATTTTCCCTCACATCCTCACAGCAATTTTTATTTCTTTTTTTAATTTTTCAGTACTGGGGATAGAACCCAAGGGCACTTTAGCAATGAGTTACACCCCCAGCTCTTTTTAAGTTGCTGGGGCTGGCCTCTGATCTTCCTGCTTCAGCCTCCTGAGTCACTGAGATTATAGGCATGGGCCACCATGCCCAGCTGTTCTGTGTATTCTTGGTGATTGCCATTCTAACTGAGATGAGATGAATTCTCAGTGTTTTTGTTGTTGTTGTTTGTTTGTTTAGTTGTAGATGGACATCATACCTTATTTTCTTTATTTTTATGTGGCACTGAGGATCAAACCCAGTGCCTCATGCATGCTAGGCAAGTGTGCTACCACAGAGTTACAACCCCAGACCTCTCAGTATACTTTTGATTTGCATATCCCTGATTGCTAAGTATGTTGAATATTTTTTCATATGTTAGCCATTTGTATTTGTTCTTTTGAGAAATATCTATGTAGATCATTTACCCATTTATTAATTGGGCTATTAGCTTGCTTATTGTTTTTGGTGTTTTTTGAGTTCTTTATATATTCAGAATAAGATTTTTAAATGTCAGGTTGCTATTTTTTTAAATGACACCTATCATCACTAGATACATTATTCTTTATTTTGTAAGTAAATTTTATTCAAATTAATTACCATTTTCTTATGATCAAAACACTGTTTTACAGGGGATTTGTAAGGGAAAAAGTTGAGAAGTTCCAATTTGTCACCGAGTATTTAAAAAGCGCACAAAATCCTGGGTGTCCGGATGAGTCTTGGTAACCATCTTGAATTACCCTTACCTCCCTGACTTTGACCAATAGTCACGTTTTCAAAACTGAAAGTGGAGGCTTCCTATATCTTGGAAAGAACCAGGCAAGTTGCCAAAAAGGAAGCTCTCTATGAAGAAAAGGCAAGGAGGGCCCTTGATCACCCATCTTGCTTCAGAGAACTTAACACAGGAAGGTGAGGAGGCAGGTTTCTGAAAAAACGGTCACACCCAGCCCCATGAAAGTTCATGTCTGTAATCCCAGCGACTGGGAAGGCTGAAGCAGGAGGATTGCAAAATGGAGACCAGCCTCAGCAATTTGGCTACGCCCTAAACAATTTAGCAGTACTGTGACTTTAAAATGTAAAGTAAAAAGGGCTGGGTATGTAACTCAGTGGTAAAACACCTCTAGGGAAGAAAGTGGAGAGGGAAGACGAGAAGAGGGAAGAGAAGGAGAAAAAGAAAAAGAAAAAAAGATGGGTTACAATCAAAATGCCTAGCTACCTACCACAAAGGCACTGGTCAGGCTCAATTTCAATCCTAATTGTTATTTATCGCCTGTGATTAAGTGGCTTAAAATTTTGGTGCCCCGAGGTCGACCCCAGAAGCTTAGTGAGGCCCTAAGCAAGTTAGCAAGCCCCTGTCTCTAAATTAAAAAACAAACAAACAAACAAAAAAAAACCAGAAAGGTCTAGGGATATAAGGTTAGTGATAAAGTGCTCTTAGTTTCAATCTCCAGTACAATCAATAAATAAATCTTGATACCCCAGTTTTCTCAGGTGCTTGATTCGGGTAATCATAGTATTTACATCCATTTTCAAAGTTAATTCACACAGGGCTGAGAGTGTGGCTCCGTGGTAGAGCACTTTCCTGAGCATGCACAATGCCCTGGGTTCAATCCCAAACACCGTTGGAAAAAAAAAAAAAAAAGCAACACTGATATAAAGTATGTACAGTCCTGATTATAAAAGCTACCTGTAATAACGGGTAGCTTTTAGAATTATTAATAAAGCAACAAGTAATGAGAACAGCGTTTGCGCGCCTTGGTTTGGTGCCACTGGATCATTAGAAGAAAGTGTACCTAGCCGGGCGCTTCCAGTCTGAAGGAAGCAGAGTTGTCGCGGTTTGTCTTCCCGTGGGTTGTGTCTTCCACGTACCCCAGACACCGGTTTCCACTCATTCACAGACCCCAACTCCGTGTCTCTGGGACTGGCCTATTCGCCCCATCCTACCGCTGCGCTCCGGGAGCCAGAGGAGGTGCGAAGTGGGGAGGAAAACCCTCTCCATCTCGGGGGGCTCTAAAACTTACCCAAACCCGCAAACTCGGTCAAGATCCACCTTGTCCCAGCAACCAGAGGTCTCCCTCGATCCTCGAGCAAAGGAGCAAGAAGTAGGCGTTCTGGGCTTTCACTCCCTTCCTAATCCCCCGCCACGCCACGATTTACGCAGAGACCGAGCCCTGGTCCCCACTCTGGGAAGAACTTGGAGTTAGAGTTAAGAGACTGCCAAAGGGTCACAGAGGGTGGTGTTAAGAAGAGACACTTACGCGGGTCAGCGTCCAGACCGGTCAGAAAGAGTAGCATGAACAAGGCCAACGCCACCGCCACCGCCACGGAGCGAGACATTGCGACTCGAGCAAAGTCAAACGCAAAATGCAAGCCCGGCGGGGCGCGTCCACTTAAATTCCTTGAGCACACAGCCAATCAGGACCCGGCCCGCGGGGCGCGTCACCAGTCTCCTAGCTTGCGACGCCGGGCCAGGTTAGAGAGAGGGATTTTCCCCTTTTCAGTTTCATTTTCTCATAAAGTCTCGTGATGTTTAGAATGGCAATAGGTTGGACTGTACATAGACGTCCTCTGATCTGGGGTACGCGCCTGGGTTTGGGGTATCAGGCCACCCATCCTAGATTCTGGCTGGAAGTGCCTTTATCCAGGGCCCTTCCAGAGATGCTAAAAGATTTGCTAACTGTGCCCCTGTCAGTGAAAAACCTAGAACCTGATGTTTTCATTCTTGGAAAATGATGTCCAGAAAGATTAAGAGCGCTAAGCAGTGACCGACAGAACTCAAACTTTGGTTGATAACTACAGCCCAGGAATACATTGGGAGGTTTCAGATTCTCTGCTCAAGGGGTTAAAAAAAAAATCAGGAACCAGAGAACTGTTCAGATCTAGGACTTTTCTTGCTTCTTGAAAAGGTTTAGGGAAGAGGTTTTGTTTGTTTTTTTTATTGGGGATTGAACCCAGGGGATCTTTACCACTGAGTCACATTCCCAGCCCTTTTTATTTTTTAAATTGAGACAGGATTTCACTGAATTGCTTAAGGCCTCACTAATTGTTAAGGTTGGCCTTGAATTTGAGACCCTTCTGCCTCAGTGTTTCTAATCCATAGGATTACAGGTGAACCACCACACCCCGCTGGGAAAAGTTTGTTTTTGGAAAGTTCTGTGCAGAGAACTTCCTTCTTGAATCTTCACTATTGTTTAGGTAACTTTCTTTGTTCAGTTGATTTGTGTGTATAGGGGTGGGGGTTGGGGTTGGGGTGGTGACCACTGACAGTAAAAGCAATAACTACTTAGAGCTGGAAAGTTTCCAGATCTCTTCAGGTATTTCATTACCTTGGCATTACCAACCTACACAACAGTGCTTGGGCCATAGTAGGTATTCTGTAAACTGAATGAGTGAATCCATTAATAAACTTTAGGTCATAGAATTATCCCTATTCATTTTATGGACAGGGAAAATAAAGGCTAAGAGGATGTCCAGATTCCCTTGGCATTCATGTTTTATTCACTTAGAAGACCAGAGCCTGGGCAATTTTAGTGAAACTTTGAATTGCTTCTGCCATAGGTCCAAGAAGAAAGTTCACCCCTGACAGTAAGAGCATGACAATGATGAGCAAACTAAGAAAACCTATACTCTAAGATAGTATGAATAAGTGAGCAAGGAGTGGTGTCACACACCTATAATCTCAGTGACTCAGGAAGCTGAAGCAGGAGGATATCAAATTCAAGGCCAGCCTCAGCAATTTAGGGAGGCTCTCATCAACTTGGTGAGACCCTGTCTGAAAATAAAAAATACCAACAATGGGGATGTGACTCAGTGGTTAAGCACCCCTGGGTTCAATTCCCAGTACCAAAAAATAAAATGAAATAAAATAAATAAGGTGATGCCATTACAAGGGGCCAAGTCCACACTAGTCTTTACAGAGTAGAACATTGAAAGGAGGAAGTGGACCATGGACACCAAGAGTAGCCCATGTCTTGGAAATCCCCATAGTGTCAGTTTAAAGGGAATTGATTGCACTGGGCTTCCCCAAGGAGAAGAACAAATAACTTCTGGATTTCTTTTATAATATTTTTTTAACTTTAAATAATCCCTATTGTCGAGGTCATGTCTAAACTAGAGAAAGTGGAATACTCTCCACAGATTTAAGGTAATGAGATAATGCACAGAGAGATCCTTTAACAGTGGCCTAGCATATAGTAGTGTTCGGTAATGTTTAATAAGAACTATAATTATTAATGTTATTTCACTAGTTTTCCTATCAGCTCTTTTTGAAATACAAGAATAATTGTAATGTATGAAGTTATGAGTTAACACACCACCCTCCCAACATCACCCTTTAAAAATCTCATTTAAGATGCTTAAAGACTAAAATATTAGTGTTGAATTGTACTGGAAAACTGTAGTGTTGAATTGTACTAGAAAAATGCTTTAGGAATATAGAAAAGGACAGGGTTTTGTTTGTTTGTTTTCTTGCCTCCAGTTTCTTTTTTTCTATGTCACAGAAAAATACTAAACTTAAAATTCATTAAAGATAGATTCTGGTATATTCACTTAGGAAGCCAATTTAAAAGTCAATTAAAAAAGAACAACAGGGATTGGGGTTGTGGCTCAGCAGTAAAGCGTTTGCCTAGCATGTGCAAGGCCCTGGGTTCGATCCTCAGCACCAAACAAAAATAAATAAAATAAAGGTATTATGTCCAACTACAACTAAGAAATAAATATTTAAAAAAAAAAAAGACTGGCACTAAGGAACATGCCTATAGTCAGACCTATATGAGAGGCTGAGGTCACTTGAGCCCAGGAGTTTAAAGTGGATCTGGGCAACCAAGTGAGACCCTGTCTTAAAACAAAAACAAAGAGCCATAGGAAAGACAGAGAAAATTTTGTTTCTCAATCTTCTGAATGTGGGAAATCTCTGTATTTTTCTTGGATTTTCATTTATGACATTCTTCAAATAGTGAGGATGAAAAGAGAATAAAACTATTTTTTTTTAAAAAAAGAGCACTGTTTTCTTGGTGGGGAGCAAACTTTGGAAATGTACAAACATGACAATTGAAGAGTGTTATTACCTGGGAGACTAACAGATGGCTTGTGTGTGTGTGTGTGTGTGTGTGTGTGTTTTGCCTGTATGAATTTCTTTAAAACTTTTTGCAGGGGCTGGGGATGTGGCTCAAGCGGTAGCGTGCTCGCCTGGCGTGCGTGTGGCCCGGGTTCGATCCTCAGCACCACATACAAACAAAGATGTTGTGTCCGCCAAAAGCTAAAATGAATATTTAAAAAATTAAAAAAAAAAACTTTTTGCAGTGAACATTTATACAAAAAAAAAAAAAAAAATCACCAGGTGCTGCCCATGCCTGTATTCCCATCAACTCAGGAGGCTGAGGCAAGAGGATTGCAAGTTCAAAGCCAGCCTCAGCAATTTAGTGAGGCCCTATGTCACATAGCAAGACCCTGTCTCAAAATGAAAAAAATAAAAAATAAATGTTGGCAAGAATGCAGAAGAGTCAGAATGCTCATGCACTTCTAGTAAGAAGGTAAAATGGTATAAACACTTGGAAAGCAATCTGATAATTTTTTTAAAAGTTAAACATACACTGGCGTTTAGACCCTGTCATTCCATTTAAGGTATGTGCCAAACAGAAAATGAAAGCATGTCTGTACAATGACTTGCACATACATGTTCATAGCAGCTTTATTTTTAATAGCCATAAACTAGAAGCAATCCAAACAGGTATCAACAGGTGATGGATAAACACATTGTAATGTACATCTATACAATAGAATTCTACCAGCAATAAACAAAAATTGAACCATTGAGACAACAACATGAATGAAATTATACTGAGTAAAAGAAACAAGAGTACAACTGTATGATTCTGTTTAAATGAAACTCTAGAAAAGATAAGCTAATCTAATAATGACAGAAAGCAGTTAAGTGGTTTCCAATCAATGGGCAAGGAGGGAGCAGAAAAACCAGGAAGAAATTTTCAGGATGATGGATTTGTTCATTATGTTATGTTTGATAATGGTTTCAGAAGTGTGTACATATGTTATAATTTATTGCATACTCTTTTTTTTTGCAGTGTTGGGAATTGAATCATAGTACACAAGTGCTCTACCACAAAGCTACATCTCCAGCCATTTTTTTTTTTTTGGTTTGTTTTTGTTGAGTTTTTAATTTTTTTGAGACAGGGTCTCACTAAGTTGCTCAGGATGGCCTCAAACTTTCATCCTCCTGCCTCAGTCTAATGAGTAGCTGGGATTAAAGACATGCACGACCATGCCCTGCTCACTTTACATTTTGATTTATTGCATGTCAATTAGAATTGTTTAAAATGTCAACCCCTGGTGGGCACCGTGGTGCACTTCTGTAATCTCAACACTGGAGGCTGAGAGAGGGGGATTTCAATTTCAGTTCAAGATCAGCCACTGTAATTTAGCAAGACCCTGTTCCAAAATAAAAAATAAAAAATGGCTGGGGATACAGCCCAGAGGTAAAGCACCTCTGGGTTCAATCCCCAGTACCCACTCCTACCCCCACCACACAGGCACACACACAAAAAGACAAACCCTGAAAGCACAGATACCTATATTGTGTTAGGTTTAAAAACAAAACAAAACAAAAAAACCCTGAATGGATCTCTGTCAGCAGGTTTTTCTTCTTGTTATTGGTACTAGGGATTGAAACCAGAGGTGCTTAGCCACTGAGTCACATCCTCAGTCCTTTGTAAATGTTTACTTTGAGACAGGGTCTCACTAAGTTGCTGAGGCTGGCTTTGAACTTTATGATCCTCCTATTTCAACCATCCAAGCCACTGAGATTACAGACATGTGCCACCCCGTCCAGCTCTATCAGCAGTTTTCTGAGCCAGAAAAGCAGGCCCACTAAGACAAAAGTACAAGTATTCATAGGACATTTATGGTGGTCTCTTTCAAATTTTATGTCGTTAAAGTCTTACTATTCAAAGTGTGATCCAAGTATCAAGAGCATCAATAACACCTTGGATCTTTTAGAAATGCAGAACCTTAGGTCCATCCCAGACCCACTAAATCAGAATCACCTTTCAACAACATCCCTGGTGATTCATGTACACACTAAAGTGTGTGAAGCTGCTGGCCCAAACTACACAAAAATCTATATTTCTACATTTACATTTACAGATAAGATAAAAACTCAGGTAAATAAGATACTTGCCCAAACTGGCACTGAGCTGGGATTCAAATGCTAGCCCATCTGATTGCAAACTTTAATGTTTTCCACTAGAAAAATCACACAAACTTGTTGTTAAAAAAAAAAATCACCAGGTATTGCTCATGCCTTTTTCCCATCAACTCAGGAGGCTGAGGCAAGAGGATTGCAAGTTCAAAGCCAGCCTCAGCAACTTAGTGAGGCCCTAG